TATTAAATTTTAATGAGAGTAATATATATAATGAAAATAAATTATGTATACCTGCACATGTTTTTACCCTCCTGTACAGCCAAAACAAATTTCCCTTTGGGATAATAAAGTATTATTTATCTTATTTTACTGTTGGTGACACAAGGAGCCCTGCATTGGAAAACTGAATCATAGTCACAGAGACAGGCACTGTACCATCAAACACTCATCGTCACCCAGTTGCAGTGCCAGATCTGCGGCAGACATCGGCGATCATGGTTCTCCATTCATTCCTTTGCTCACATGCTCTCAAAAAAGTTACGTTTCCCTGATCTTTCCCTGTTACCCATTTGTTTAGGTTCCATAAAGTATGTTGTTCTGGGCCTAATCCTGCCTCGCTAGCCCTCAATTTCGCCAGTGAGAGCTAGATGTTCAAGACCCTTTTATGTCTATTCAGTGTCCCAAACGCTGCATTTGTCATTTCCTGATAGTTTTTACATCGAGCGTCCCACGTGGGCTTCATCAAGCACTACCTCATTTGATTCTTTTCCTTCCACGATACTCTTAGCAGTCATCACACACTAGAGATTTTAAAAACTCCCAACAATTTATGTTCTGTTGTTCCTATCAGAATCATGAAAAGCAAAAATACATTTGGTTGCTCTTAAGGACAAGCGGGCTAACCCAGATTTCGGGGGTTTCCAGAAATCTTGACTTACAACAAAAGTGGGCATTGCCCTACCTTTAGGAGAAGTTTGGTTTCATTGGTGTGTATACTTGTTTGGATATAGAGAAAACTCTCCTTGTCCTTTAAAGAAACTGAACAAGGGGCAAAAACTTTACCTTCGATTTTCTCAAAACAGCATTTTGGGCTTAAAAGCGACCATTTGTAAACCTTGACTATAGCATTAAACTGCATTTTGGTGATGTTGAAATGTGCATCTTTGAGATACAGCTTTCGGATGGTGTAAAAATTAAACGTTCTCAAGATTTGGACTTAAGTGGTTTGCTTGCGAAAGCGACAAATTACTACCCAGTGATTTACTCTCTACACAAG